AAAAGCCCTTGAGAGTCACATAATGACAACTTACAGGCAGTTCCTGAGTTACAAACATCTGATTGACATATGACTTGCCCTTACAAAAGGAGGCTATTACAGGTGATAGGTAAATGTACCTGTTCCAATTACATACAAATTCAACTTAAGAACAAACCTACAGAACTCTGCCATTTGGAACCCAGGGACCATCCATATTTCACACATGAGGGAACTGAGGCTCAGAGTGATTAGGTTGCTCCATATTTTCTCACTTAAGTCAACACATTATTGTGATTTTTACCTGAAGTATCCAGTGGCTGAGAGACTGATTCTTTGTTCAAATGCAGCTTCTATCTGCAGAATGGGCATATTTAGTTAAAATGAAATAAATATACCATCTGATAGGTGAAAATGAGAATGTTCTCTGTACAACTGACATCTCATTCTAACTCCTAGTGTTTTGCTACTAATGATAGAACTCATCATAATACTTTTTCATGGCTGGCACACTAACAGTTTCCTTCTGATCAAGTGTAGAAGTCTGCATCGAACAAATATAAACTAGAATCATGCTGCATGCTCATGATATAGACGCTTAGTGCACAAGGTCCTTGGGGCTTTATTTCTCAATGTTAGAACTTCATAGTAAGTGTGAGATTAATGTTCTAATGAAAAAATGTATTGGGTACTGTCCATTTGGGTTCAGTGAATAATTTCCCTTGAGCGTATTCAATAGCAATGAGGCTTTTAGTTTTCCTCTTCTCTACCCAAAACATCTTTCTAATATTTTCTCTTTTGTGGTTTAGAAAGGCTCAGTCTGTCTCTTCTTTTTTGCTTAAGCAGAGTGGGAAAGACCTTTGAGTAGTCTTCATATCCTTCCATTCCTCCTCCCAGTGGCTGTTGCTTCCTGAATGCTCTCTCCATACATACCTGGTGTACGTCCTGGAGTAGCCTTCTCAACCTTTGGAGATCATGCCTTTTTGCAGAAATCCACTCAACATGGGGCATGCTCCATCCCCGTGACACTTAGAGGAACTTTTTCTATGTAGAGTGACTGTGTACTGCCATGGCACTCCCTTAGCAGGGGTTGGGATTGTTTTCTCACTTTTATTAACAAACGGAATGAAACACTTACCCAGTCCTCCCACGTGCCCTCTGGATTTTTCTTAATGATGGGCTCAAGGCGTTTCAGAAGGATCTGACAAGCGTTCTTGAAGTGGTAAAGAAGAGAATGCATGTTAGCGAAGAGGATGGTGGTTATGATTTGTGTGAAAGAATATTCATTTACCACAGATTAGAATATTCATTTACCACAGATTAGAATATTCGTTTACCACAGTCAGCAGGTGCTATGGAGTGTCTGATTCTGACACATTGGGAACACAGAGATAATAACACAGCCACTGCTCTTGAGGATAGCCTCGGCTGCTGGAGAGTTTTTTCCCTTCCTGGTTTGCTACCCTTGAAAATACGTATTTAACTGAATTTCTATTCTCAGATCCTCTTTCTTAGAACAATCAGGTTCTTAATTTCTTTTTCTCTCTTTCTGCATCTTTTATACTAATGTTTTTACGTACTTTCTTTTGTATTTTCCAGCCATTAAAATAGATAGAATAAACATCCTATTTTCACTCAAATTTGTGTTTTCTAGTCTGCAACAGTGACGTGCCAGTATCGCCTGGAGTTTGAAATACTCAACCCTCCAGCCATCTCTGTTCATCTACTCACCATCAAGCCTCAGCAATGAAGTCCTTGGCTTTGGGTGCGAAATGAGAAAATGATTAAATCTATTTTAGCATAACCAAAATACACAGAGTTTGATTCTGAAAACAGAAACCTAAAGTTTAATACTGTAGAAGATGAATTAACACTTATTTTGGGTTGGCAACTCCCCCTCACACTGAACTGTTCCTCTTTCGTGTTTGATCCTACCCCAAATTGGATCTCATGCGTTTGCGACTTCTTACACGCTGGTTCTGAGCAAAGAGAAGTGTCTGCTTTTTGACCTCCTGAGAGGCAGCTCCACAAAATTTGCATAGATTTGAAAGTGGTTCCTCTTGGAGGCACCAATGCAGTGTCCTGAGAAAATGTGGCTCCCACAACATCCCAGTGGAAAAAGTGAACAGTTTGTAACAGAAGCATGACAAATAGGTATGATTTCAAAAGTAAATGTGATCAGATAACTGAATGAAAAACTATGAAGTCACGATTCTATTCTGAGACAGTGAAAATTTAGTACTTTTAAAAAACGTCAGCTAGAAAGTAAGTACAATGAAAAGCTCTGAGTGCCGTGGTGGAAAGCCGCTGATGACGTGGCTTGAATCGCACCATGTCTCCTTGGCTCGGGGGTTCTCTTCCACCCACCTGTCTGCAGGAATATGTTTGCACGGGGGAGCTTGCACAGCTCTGCATTACTTGGTACTGAAATTTCTTCTTGCTATGCTTCCCAGGAACAGACACTCCTTGTTCACCAAAATCCATTCTGCTTTTCTTCCATAGCAACTGGGCATATGTTTCTCAGAACTCTACACCTCCCAACCTCCCTTGCAGTTAGACATGGCCCGAGAAAGGTTCTCCTAACGGATTGTGAGAGGACGGATGTGCATCCCTCCCAGGTCTGGCTGGGGTCTTCCACACTGGCTCCTCCAGGCTCACTCAAATGATTCTCAGGGCTAGCTGGAGTGGCACATGTTGGAGATGGTGGAGCCCCAGTCAGTCCAGTTGCTTGAATCACCAAACACTCGCGGGGACGGATATGTGTGCAGGAAAGGGACTTCTGTTGTGTTTGAGTCATCTGTGCTTTAGGTTAGTCTCCTCCAACTAATACACTCTCCTGCCAGTTTGGTCATCCCAAGGCTAAGTTGAGTGACATGGATGACTCCCCTGAAGCCAACCATTGTGCCCATATTCAGCTAAGAAAATGAGGGATGTGGGCAGAGCACACCGGGGACAGACAGGCAGGAGGAACTACCTGCACGGCTCTGCCGTTGACGTCGGCCCCGATGGATGCGGCGGTGGCGATGGTATTAGGCACAGCTGCTGTGCTCGTTTCGCAGATGTGCATGTAGGACATGGGTATTTTTAATTCGCGGCTGGCCACCTAGGAGGAAAAGAAATTATTTTCAAGTCCAGCAAGGGCTTCTATGAGGAGTTGAGTCATTACTTTTAAAAATAATAATGAGATTAAAAAATGTATTAAATTCATGATATCCTTTTAAGCCTAAAATAATGTGCCTTACAAGCATCAGAACTTGTTTTTAGTAGGGCCTCATGTATTTTGACTTCTAAAGTGTTTTCTTGGTAATATTCCACAGTGGCTCTTCTCTGCCAATTTAGTGCATTTAGAATGTTAAAGATTTCCTTTTTGCTGAGGTTAATATGTGCTGGAAGTAGGCCAAGTTGAGATTATCAGGCACTGATATGTGGTCACAGTCAGGAAGAAAGAGGGTGCGAGAGAGATTGAGATTAGATTGATTGGCTGACTCAGAGTTTGGTCTGAAGTCTGCTGATATTAGGATGGAGGAACTCGGAATGACCCGGAAGCCCTATCTGGCTCTCAGCTGATTGTAACTTCAGCTTCCTCCCTCTGTTCCTCCACTTGCTTCCCCTTGCGTGTATTTCTCTAGTTTTGACTGGTCAGTTTTTCCTTTTCTGTTCTTTTCCTTTTGGATTCTCTAGCAAACACATATGGAGAGTAAGATATTTAATCAAGGAGAAATGAAGGCTGGGCACAGTGTGCACTTGTAATCCCAGCACTTTGGGAGGCTGAGGCAGGAGGATCACTTGAGGCCAGGAGTTCAAGGCCAGCGTGAGCAATAGAGTGAGACATTATCTCTAAGGAAAAGAAAAAATAAAAAAGAAGAAATGAAAAGGAAAGAAATGACAGGGAGGGCAGGAAGGAAAAGAAAAAAGCATTATTTAGGCTGCTATTGCCTTTTAGTTTTCACAAAAAACTTCTTCTCAAGTTATAGTTATTCACCTGTTTCTGCTCCCAAATGCTAATCTTCTGACTAATGCCATTTAATATTAAGTTTCTCCAGACAGAGGCAAAAAGGAAAAAAAGGACATTTTATTGTTTCTTGGTGAGGAAAATCCAAAGGGAATTTATTGGTTCATCTCCCTGGGAAGGAGAGATGAAGCGAGGTCAGGCATGTCTGCATCGGGGCTGTGTGGTCTCAGCAGGGTCCTCTCTCAGCCTCTCACATTGACGAGTGTACTGTTTACAAAGTAGACAGGCTTTGCCCATGGCACAGAACTGCCTTTGGTGACCCCTGGCCTACAGCCTGGGCTCTAAATGACCACAGGGGAAGACAGTTCCTTTCTCCCAGGAGGGACTCTGATTGGCCTTGCTTGACTCATGTGCCTTCCTCCTGGGGTCAGTGAGGTTTGGAAACTATGACTGACCAGAGCTGGGTCTTGTGCCTTTTTTGGTGGCAGGTGTGGGAACAAAGAGGGGGATGGAGCTCAAAGGTGCCTGAACTGAGGAGTCTTTCAGAAATACATGGAATGGGACAGGTATAGTGTTCCGATGAGCGAAAGGGGTGGGAGAGTCACAGCTCCAGATGTGCACTATTAATCATCTCATAAATTTGTCAATAGTTCTATTTATTCAATTTAAAGATTTTTTCTTTTTTTCTCTTGAGATTATATTCTTACCTCTTTATACATATGTGTGTGTGTTAAACATCCTTTCAAAGTTATGGGATGATGACAGCTGATGACAGCTGATGAAATACTTGTCCTTACTCGTCAAAACAAAACACTAGCAACCAAATATTGCTGCCTAAAGTTTAGGTATTAAAAACAGAAACGCTGAGAAACACCTTCTCTGGGTAAGCCTGCAGGGAGCTCCTGCCACCGAGCTCCACGGTTCCTTAGCTGTGTTTTCACTAACAACCACATCTACCTGGCACCCTGGCCAAGCTCTGGAAGTATTTGCATACACATGGGTTTCTGCCACCTCAGACATTCTCTTTAACTTGTAAGCTTTCCACCAAATCGGTTTGAATACAGGAGTAATCATTTACCCTAAAAGATGACTCCCACATTTAGTCACGTCAACAATGGATAGAGAGATTAATGGCTTAATTTTACTTATTTTACCTGGAGCATTTTGGTGTGGATGCCTTGTCCCAGTTCATTGCCTCCATGTGTAACCAACACAGACCCATCTGTGTAGATGTGAACAAGGGCAGCCGCCTAGGGAATAATTGGAAGGCATATCTCAGTGCAAGCTAGTACTTAGTGAGAGCCAGCATAAAACACGAGGCCCTGAAACGTCTGTCTCAGGGCAGGGAGGCTCAGAGATGCAGCTTTCCTGATAGGATCTTGAAGCAAAAAGTCGCCTGTAAGGACATTCTTCCTGGTTTTATAGGAGCCCCTTTGGATAATCAGGAGCTGTGAGTACTGGTTCCAACTATTTGAAAGTCACTCTGCTGCTTACAAATCACTGGCTGGCCATCAGAATAGTTTATTTTTTATTTTTTTTCAGAGAAGGGCTCTTGTTATGTTGCCCAGGCTGGAGTGCAGTGGTTATTCACAGGCACAGTCCCCTACTGATCAGCACGGGAGTTTCAACCTCTGTTTCCAACCTGGGCCAGGTCACCCCTCCTTAGGCAACCTGGTGGTCCCCCACTTCTAGGAAGTCACTGTTCTGATGGTGACACTTAATCAGCATAGCACACTATAGCCTGGACTCAAGTGATCCTCTTGCCTCAGCCTCCCAAGTAGCTGGGACTACAGGTGCGTGCCTCCACCTCTGGCCATCAAACTAACTTTTAAGTATGTGCCTACCTGCACTCAGCTCTAGATATGCAAAGATGAGTCAGACGTGGCTCTTCTTCAAGCTGCTCTCACTATAGAGGGAAGATAGCCTGGAAATCCAGTCACTGCGTCACTGTGGTGCAGAGTGATCAGTGAGGCAGAGGGGTCCTGAGAGACCTGAGAGGACAGGTCCAACTCCTTTGGCACCGCGCAGGGATGGGTTCCTCAAAGTGACAACTGAATGGAATCCTAGGGGGAAATTGCCAGTGGGCAAGGTGGGTAAAAACTCCCATTGCCTGCAATGGAAAGCCCTGCTCCTTATTGCAGTATGGGCCTTTTGGGATTTGGTCTCTTGTGATTTCCCAGCTCCATCCTTGCCTCAGATCCCTTTCCCACCTTCTGCTCCTTACCTGTCTGCCCAGCCTGCGGGCCCACACACCCCAGTCCCTGTGCTGGTCAAACTTCCCTGAATGCTTCTCATCCCCACCTGGGAAGGCTCTGTCTATACTTCTTCTCTGTACTTCTTATGGGAAGTACTGGGTTGAATAGTGTCCCATCCAGAATTTGTGTCCACCTGGAACCTCAGAACTTAAGTAGTCTTTGCAGATGTTTTCAGTTAAGATAAAATCGCAATGTATTAGGAGGCCCTAAATTCAATGACTGGTGTCCTTATAAGAAGGCCGGCTGCAGACACCAGGGAAGATAGAGGCAGTGGTTATAGTTATGCTGCCACAAGCCACAGCACACCCAGAGCCACCAGAAGCTGGAAGACTCCATGGAAGATTCTTGCCTGGAGCCTTCAGGGGAAGCATGGCCCCATCATCACCTTGATTTTGAACTTCTACTCTCTAGAACTGTCAGAGAATGAATTTGTTGTTTAAGCCACCCAGTTTGTGGTGGCTTTGTACAGCAGCCACAGGAGATGACCGCAGGAGGTGGCACACTCTTCTCTGAGAGTCTCACAGACGAGGGGCATGTCGTCTTGTTCATCCTCACCTTCTATGAAGACTTTTGGGCAAGACTGAATCACAGAGACACTACTTAGATGTTTAATAAGGTGAACAGATGGAGAGATGGCATTTTTCCTTCCAGGAAGAGAAGGAAGGAATGCTTCGGTCCACTGGTGTCTGGAGATGCTGGGAGGCCCAGGGCTGGCTTGGAGGGGTTTGAGAGGGTCACGGCTTATAGCTGCTAATAATAGTGTTATTTGCCATGGGCCTTTGGACTCCCCCTGAGGGGTGGTGTCCTCAGGTCAGCTCAGAGAGTAGGTGTTCCAGCTTCGTGAGTCATCAGCTAGCTGGCCTGGAACACCCTCCAACTGCTAGCCAGGTGATTCTTGGGTCTATTTATTCAGAACTCTGTGGGGAAGCTGGAGGCTATTTAAATGGAGACCTAAAGTCATCACTTGATTTAAAGATTTTTTTGCGTGTGTGGGTGATGAGATGAGAAGCTGGTTGCCGTGGATGAGAGCAGAGAGGAGGCTGGAGTTTAGGTGGGGAGCAGCTATGTAGGTGAAGGGAGCTGTGTTATAATAGTATATATCTGATCTTTGGTTCTTGGTCCAGAGCACCTAAAACTTTGGAACTTATTATCTTTGGTCTGCTAATGGGATAACTCATGGGAGAGTTTCAGTGTGGGGCCCCTCTCCCCAGCTCCTTCAGGATGAGGCTAGAGATGGTCGTGTTCAGTCATTAATGGCCAATGATTTCACCGACTGTGCTTATGAATGAAACCTCCATAAAACCTCAAATGATGGGGTTTGGGGCCCTTCCATGTGGACGTGCTGGGAGAGAGGTGTCTACAGAGGGTGTGGGAGCTCTGTGCCCTCCCCCACACCTTGCCCTCTGCAGCTCTTCCATCTGGCTCTTCCTGATTTGTTATCCTTTATAACAAACTGGTAATAATCATAAGTAAGGTGCTTTCCAGAGCCCTGTGAGTCATCCTGGCAGATTATCAAGCCTGAGCAGGGGTAGTGACAACCTCCACATAAGTAGTTGACCAGGCAGAGGTGTGCGTGGCCAGGCGCTCCACTGAGGCTGGTGTCTCAAGGGCACAGTCTTGTGGGACGGCCCTTGACAGTTCAAAGAATTGAACTGGACTGTTGGAAACCCATTGGTTTTGGAAAAGACACAGTATTTGATGTTAGAGAGCAATGACCCAGCGGCTCTCCAGGGTCTCCTACTCCCCAAGCTTCAATTGGACCCACTTGTAGGCGGACAGTTAACATTCTCACACCTGTTTATAAGAGGGTGTGCTGGACCTGAGCAGGAATGTGGCCCAGAGGCCCAGGAATCATTTCACTGCAGGTGCCCTCAGCAGTGTCTCCGAGTTCTTTAGGATGCCCAGGGTAATGTCCTGAGACTTCCAGGAACTCTGCCAAGTGCTCCATGTCCGTTATCTCCCAGAGTCTACATAATGCTAAGAGACAGTTGTGGAAGCTGAGGCTCAGAGAGGTTAAGTAACCTGCTCAGTGTCACACAGCTAGTGAATAGTAGGGCTAAAGATTTCTCAAGTTCTCCCCCTGGTTTCAGTTGATTAGGGATTTGGGGCAACCGCTTTATTCTCTAAGAAGGATTTCCTTTGGCAGGGCAGCGTTATAGTTTTGAGAAAGGAGGGAGAGAGACAGAGCGAGAAAGGGAAGGAGGGAGAGAATCTATTGCCTGAGGCAGCGGGCTCCCAGCGGAAGGAGGCTTTCAATGGTGTGCGCACAGGGGCGGTGCAATGCATGCAGATCCCCCAGGTTCCCCTGGGTTTTCTGCTTTTGGTGGACAGTAATGGGGAGCCAACACCAGTTGGTAGTTTTCTAAACAGCTTTCCCGCCTGTGACCCCCTGGGACCGCAGGGAAGACCTGCAGTATTTGATGCTCTCACCTCTGTGCTGCCCTTCTCTTCCCTTCTGGAGAGGGCCAGTAAGTGACTTGCTTGAACATAGATTTATTCTACGAAGAACTGACTATTCTACTTGCTTCTTCAGATTTATTTGGGAGGATTTCTGGACCCCACTTCCATTTCCCCACTGGAATTGACACGGATTCTTGGGAGAGGTGGCTTGGAAGTGCCAGATGGTCAGGGCAACGTGGAATTGCTTCTCTGCCTAAGACTTAGCAGGTATGCCAAGAAGTGCTGCGGTGTGTGGGGACACCAGGGGGAACTCATTCCTCCCCAAGTCGTGAGACCCCTGAGCCCAGCATCATAGGCTTCAGGGTTCCTATTCCCTCTGGACAGTGGGGAGTCGGTAGGGGTGTTCTGCACCTCGGCAGGTATGCTGCTGCAGGCCTCAGATGAGGGGCTGCTCAGGAGAACTCTGTGCGTTTCTCCTACATGTTGGCAGGGAGGGGCTCAAGGGCTCTGAGAAGCAGGATGTTCTTTCAAAGTCCACACAAGCTGACTGGGCCAGAAGTGTGGCTGGCATGAGAGTTACTTATCATATATGAGAGAATTATTGAGCATATTTGAGAGAAGTATCGAACACACGTGAGAGAATTATTTGCCACGTGAGAGTCTTACCTGATGATAGCTTGTCGCAGCAAAGCCGACTGAAAATTTCATGGGGACCACAGCAATGCCTTTCTTCTTCCAATAATTCTTCTTATTGAACTCGTCCACTTGTGTCCTTCTGCTGTGAAAAGAAGACTTGTCCAGACACTCATTCCAACATCTTATCAGGGGCTCAGGGCTGAATGCTTGTTTGTAGATGGTCTTATCAACCGTTTTGTACATGTTTTTCTCCCTAATCTGAAACAGGCGGGAAATCCAGTCAATAGTTATGGTAAGACTGAAACTGACCACCAAGTAGAGACTTGAAAACCTCTCCATTAACGCATAGACTTCGCTGACGGGAAAGACAAGGTCTGTTTTTTCTGTGAATAGCATGTGCTTAGTGCAAAGTAATGGGGTTATTTTTCATTTCTTCATGAATGCACCAAATAGGGTCTCTCTTTGCTGGAAGCAGAGAGTAATGGGTAGGGATTAGTTCAGGAAAAGAAGTGGGATAGAGGGGCCTGGGAAGGCAGCTTGGTTTTTTTCCTACAAGGTTTAGAGGATGGAGCAGAACTGGTAGACGGTATATTAAAGAAAGATTTATTATCACAACTGAAGATCTGTTCTGCTAGAGAGGAATAACATCGCAGATAATAGAAGATCTCCTGCGAGCTACTCAGTTGCCCTTGGTATGTGTGTGTAAATCTTTTAAAAAATTAGTTGAATAAGGTGGTGTTTTATGTCCTGGGAATTTGCAATACTTGATAAGGAAGCAGACCCTGCTGAGCTATGCCCAGGAGTTTTGTTTTGTTTTTTAAATTATCTCCATCATAGTCTAATAACATAAAAGAGCTATTATTATTAGCAACAAAACAACTATTTTAATGACTATCAAGTCATTTGATTCTGCGGGAACTCTGAGGTGAGGCACTTCGTCCTCATTTTACAGATAAGGAAACTGAGCCACAAAGAGATGGACGGCCCTTGCTCATGCTGCTCGCCTTGCCTGCGTGACCTTTCCACCCTCTGAGCTATCATTCTTCAGGACCTATCGCACTGTCATCTTCTCCGGAAAGTTCTTCCTCACCCCCTTCCCATGTCTTCCTTCTACGTACCCATGGAACACTTTACAGGACTTCCCTTAGGAGAACGGCTGTCTGCCTTGTACACTATTAGGAAAGACCTCGACAATCACAAATCACAAACCTGGACTTCCCTGTTGGATATAGGGACAAAGGGGCTCAATGACAAAGTATAGAGAGTCTTTGCTGGAGCAGAAGGTTTATATTGGGGAAAGAAGGAATATACATGGAAAAGGTAGGCCGGGGTCTGACTGGAATGTGCGAGGCGGGGAAACGTGCCATCCACAGGGAGCTCAGGTCCAGAGCTGCCTCTCCCTGGGTGGCACGCTGTGTGTCCTTCCGCACCTTCCTGTATATTACGCAGAATGATATTTTTGGAAGGTACTCTTTTGGCAGTATCTCTCAAAAGTTTCTAAGCAATTCTCCTTCTGTAAATTTATCCTATAAATATACTTACACAATAGGACGAAGTTATACCCTTGGTACATACATGCCAAGATGTTTATTGCAACATCATTTTAAAAGCTCAAAATAGGTAACACCCAGAATGTATATTGATAATGGAGCGGCTAAATAAATGCTGATAGGTCTATATTACACAGTACTATTCAGTCGTGAAGAAGAAGGATGCAGATTCTACCAACCTGGGGAGTTGGCCATGGGATACTGTCAAGTAGAAAGAGGAAGGCATAGAATAATATGTCTGTTACGGTTTCATGTTGGTAAATAACTCCATGTATGTACATATGTTCAATGGCATGCTTATGTATGTGTGTATGATTACAAATGTGTGGCCGAAGATAGAGAAGGGGTTAGCACAGTAAACGTGGAACTGCTAACAATGACTGCTCTCCACCGACAGGTGTGGGGCATGAAAAAGGGCATTCACTTTCTTTTTTCATTCCTTCCATGTGGTTTGAATTTTAAAAACAGTAATTGTTTTTGTACGAATAAAAATTAAAAGAAAGAGAAACCTTTGGATAAGGAGGGAAGGAGTAAGATGGGGGAGGTGAGCTCCCTTAGATAGGTCTTAATTTTGGATTCTGAGCCAGCACTAATTGGTGTGGTTCTTCTCCTGTGTTTCCTTGGTCGGGGTGGCTGCCTCCCGCTGCATCTGATTCTTCAGCAACCTTGATTACAACCTCACCTTTTCTGGCAGAAGGCCACATCTGGCGGCCACAGCTGTGATGCAAGATTCGGTTACCAGGGTTCCTTGTGGGAAGCCAAACCCGCGAAAGGCAGTATTGGACGGTAAATTTGTCCTGCACGCACGGCCCCGGAACCTGAGGTTACGGATTTTATATGCGTTTTCCAGCTTTAGTATAAGAAATTCTGTTACCTAAAGTAAAAAGGGATATTCACATATATCGACCATCACTTTTTTCTTTTCTTTGAAATTCAAGTACAGAGTCAAATTATTTATGGAATTTAACTGCTTTAGGAAACAGGCTTCATAAAGACCCATCTAGAAATTTTGCATTCTATTCACAGTCAAGAACACTGCTGCTCTCCGCTGCACATACCATCTCCGAGTCGTCCAGCGTGCATCCTCCGTTAATGTAGCACTCGACATCTAGAGCTTTGATTCGCCCGTTGTTCATGAATCCCACCTGCCACCAAACGATGGACATTGTACTCAGATGCTTAAAATTTGCATTCCAGCCTCAGCCCAGTTTCCCTATATGTAGGACCAGAGGGGAACTTGTGGGCTTGGGACCACATGTGGCCTTCTTGAGTACAGCCTTTTGACTGAATCCAAATGTTACAGAGCAAATCTTTTCATTAAAAGGAATGCAGCAGGGAAAGATAAAGTTTTTCTTGCCCTCTCTGGCGCTTAAAAAAAAGATAAATCTTGAACTCAGAAGGCCACAGGTTCCCTCCCTCAGCCGGGTGTACCACGCCTGGCTGCTGCAGACCTCTCTGACCTGGATTCTGCTGAGCGCTCTCCTTTCAACGTGTAATTTTCTAGTTTCACAGTCAGGGTGAAATTCTAAAATCTTTGCTGTCTCCCAGCGTATAATTGCCACCCTCATTCTCCTTACTCTCGGAAGATTCTCTTTCCATTTTTCCTGGCTTTCTTTCTAATTTAGTCTGTGGCTTTCTCCCTTGTGGTACAGCCTCTGGAATTCCAGAATGAACTGGAATGAATTGCAGTGTCTCTGGTTATGGAAAAGCCTCTGAAGCCGTGGTAGGTGAATGGATGCCCGGGGATGACTGTACTCACTTTACCAGCTGGCGAGAAAGCTTTGGAAGTGGGTCACAGGCCCTAACAAACATGAACTCTGGCTGTTGTTACTGTTTTGGAGACACCGCAGGCAGCTTGCAGTTTTCAATGTTGCTATTCCCATCCCGCCCCCATAGACCGTTTTCTCTGTACAGCTCAGACTGAAAAGAGAAAGTCCCACTTGCTATTGTCATTCTACCCAAAGCAGATTGGTCCTGGTCCTTTCTGAAAACAGGGGTAACTACAATGAAGAAACTGTGCAATTATATGGTTGTCATCATCTGCTCCAAGGGAAATACTGGATAATAATCTATGGAGAAGTTAGGAAAATTCACACATTCAGCATTTATGGTCCTTTTGACACATGCTAACCTGAAGTTGACCTTTGACTTTTCATGAAGAAAGGACTGTTAAGCACAACAGTACTTTAAATAAGGTAGCGGAGAGAATCCATAAACTATTTACTATCAACTTTCTAAGAATGTTGGAAGAACCTATTTGCATGTAAATACCATGCTAACTTACAAATAGTTCTGAATTATCAAGCAAAACTTTGTTAGCTATGTATGAATGAGCTATCTTTTTACACGTGTATAAACACTGTACATTGTTAGAAATGAAATCTTCAAAACACAATTTGAATTTTTCAAAAAGTCTGTTTTCCTCTTAGTTATATTTTATATTACTATAATTACCTGGATATTAATGGTCTAGAACCTTCTTCACAAGCATCAGTACAAAACAGTCGCATAACTGAGATTCATTTATCATCCAGGCCAACCACTTTAACATCAGCAACTGCCACGATTTCAGCAGTGTGCCTCTACATTGCAATAACAGCTGTAATAACTCATTTCTGCGCATTTGAAGGTAAATAAAAAGTTTAACAGCCAATTATGGCCCCTTCTAACACTAAAGGACTGTAATTATAAATTATAATTATAAAATTAGTAATCATAAAAATTACTAATGTCAGTGGAAAAAATAAAATTGTGCTGTGTCTTGGAAAGCTATGGCTTTAGTAGAGAATGGAGAAATTTCTCTACATTTAGTAGAGAAAGTGTAATAATTTAATAATAGAAGACAATGATAAAATCGTGTAGAAAATCAACATGCATGCTACAGCAATTCCCAAATAGTCTTTGATAAGCTTTATAGTACAGTGATCCTAACAATTCAAAATTCGAAAGTTAGTATTGTTGCCAACTAGATGCCAACCATTTTTATAGTGTTCAATAGTATTTCTATTATTGTTACATAAAACTGCAATGTATGTGGTTTGAAATAATTTTAAATTCTCTAGTCATGGGATTCTTTTTTTCCTTTCTGCAAAGAGCTTTTGTAACACTCTCATAACCACTTGGTGAAAACTCTTGTAAAAAATGATTCTGCAGTTAAAACAAATTGTATCCAAAATTTCTCCTGCAAAATATATAAATATTTATAGCTAAGAAGTTTTGATATTAACAACGTTTGTAGCTTCTTTCAGTTTTTTGTGTGTTTGTTTTGAGGAACCACTAATATAAATCCTTATTCCTTCAAGTTATGTTTTTATCATGACTTGAAATTCTATGTTCTTTTTTTTAAATCAAACTTATTCATAATTATGCACTAGATTTAAAGTTCCTTATAAAATGTTATAAGTATTCAAATATATCACGTCTTCGTTTAATATTTTAGACGCTAAGGTTATTTTTAGAATTTAGCAAAATCAAAATAATGGCAAAGGAAAAAGCCCTTCAAATAAAATGAGGCATTTTAGTAATTTCATCTTTAATACTCACTTTATATTTTCCAAATAACGGATGTCTTCCCCCAGTTATTAACATATCATCTTCGCGATCAAGAACAAGACGAATGGGATGACCAGTTCTAAAGAAAACAAATTAGTAAATTTTCCACCCATCTGCCCTCCCAGCCATCTGCCTGTCTACCCATCCACCCATTTAACTATCTACCCAGCCATCAATTACCCACTTATCCATCTAGTCCAGAACCCTCCCACCCATTTATCCAACCATCCAGCTATCCTATATTGATTTTATAATTCCCTCCAACACGCTAGGCACTAATGTGAATTAATGTATGACTAAATTACTATCGTCTCTGTGGCCTATAGATCAATAGTTGGAAATCTAACTAAAGGTATTAATGTCACATGCACTTAAGTTGTATTCTTAGGATCTCTACCACTAGTTATAAAGGAGAAAGAATGTGAATGGACAAGTGAAACTTTACAAGACTACTGGGAAAACAAGCCCAAGCAGTCATCCTAGTACGCCCGGTTAGCATTCTTACCCATGAGTGTTGCTTTGTTGGTTAAGTTGGGCCCCTGGGTAGCAAGAAGCCTCGGTCTTTCTGTATATCTAGGCAGAGGTTCTTCGACTTTGAAGTGCAGAAGAACTACTCGGGAGCCTGGTGCAAATGCACATTCCTGGGCCTTTATACTGGATTCTGATTCAGTAGGTTTGGGAGGAGCCTTAGAATCTGTGTTTTTCTCAGTGATTCTGATGCAGGTGTCTTTAGGCTCATGTGGAAAAGTACGATTCAAGTGCAGGCAGGGACACCTGGAGCATCCATATAATGTACAGTTTCCAGGTCCCTCCCCTGGTAATTCTGATTCTGTGGGGCTGGCATGGGGAGACAGGGATGTCTGTGACCTCTCTGGAGCGACACTGCTGTGGAGACCATTTAATGCCTGGCAGCCGTATGCCAAGGCACTGGTCGCTACACTTGCCTGCACAGAGACACTGGGCCAGTATAGGGCAGCCTAGGTACTGGGATTTAAATTCTCCCCAGATGACTCTAATGTGCACTCAAGTTTGAGAAGTCTTGAAGGCACGAGGTCTGGTAGGAATTCAATGAACTGATTATTCCTTGCTGGGTTCCCAGTGGGTGTGAATAGAGAGAGTTAATTATGGAAAGAACTGGAGATTAGATTCAGACCTGCTTTCTCCTACCTTTCACTGAGGACTGAGACCCATGTCTGGAGGCTTCATAACCTAGCTCTGAACTATGCAGAAGTTGTCAAAGGAAGCAAGACTGAATTTTGGAGGGCTGTTGTTAAAAACAACAACAAAACAGCTATAGAACTAGAGCGAGTAACAGAAAATCCAGCATCAACTGAACACAAATGTTGAGGCATGAACAGCAAAAGAGGGAGCCTTCCAGGGAGGCTGGCCCCAGAGCTAATTTGGGAATAAGTCATCTGTCCACTGAGCTGACTCTGAAGAGGTGGCCCTTCCCAGGTGCAGAGGGGGTGAGCCTCTCTTTCCTCATCCTGCCCTGTTCGGGGGTGAGAATAGGAGGGAAAAGTCAGGAGCAGTCTGACTGTCAGCACTCTGCGTGGGCAGGGTGACTTGCCCCTTAAGGAGTCACCTTCCCTGAAGCTCAGGAATATTCAACAAACGATACCACTATTCCTTCTTATAGCATATTTGCTTACTCTAAGTCCAGTGTCCAGCTGGCGTTTGCAATAACTAAAAGGGTGGGAGGGCCGGTATTTTTATCTACATTTTATAAAGAAACTAAGCCTGAAGGCTGAATTGTATAAGAGGACACATGGGTGGTGACGACCCTCTGGCCACATGGCTTGCCCTCAGCTCTGGGCATTTGATACCCCCCCCCCCAAGTGCACTTACTTGACAGCACCCACAGCTGCAATGGCCCCCAGTGCGGCTGGCCTTCCCACCTTCCCTCCAAAACCTCCACCCACTCGTTTCACATGACAGGTGATCCTGTTGATGGGGATGTTTAAAGTAGCGGACACCGTTTTCTGTAAAAGTGAGACAACAGGAAGGCTTGTGAGACTGAAATGGCAAAGAAGCTTTTGTTTCCTGAAACACAACATCACAGCAGCGTTCGTTCAGATCTACGGGGAAAAGCAAAGGAGACAGTTTGAATCTGTCTTGTGGGGCTTTATTGAGAATCAGGGGTGTCCAGAATTTTTTTTCCTGATGCACATTGGAAGGAGAAGCGTCCTCTTGGGCCACACGTTAAAACCAAAAAACACCAAGGAAAACTGCTGAGCACAAAAAAGGTCCGTGTGGAATTTTTGCGATATCGGACACCACAGATAAGGAGAACCGGCCTCAAATCATCTGCAGGACCCCCCAGATTCGGTTCAGAAACATCACTAATCTTCACAGCCTTCAAAGCCTTTTTTTTTTTCCCGCTAGAAGCTTTTCTGAAGGGAAGCTATCAGAGTACTGGACTCCTGTCAGAAGTTGTCAGATGTCCACACCTACAAGGCCACGGAGGTGAAAACCAGCACACTCCTGACAGTCCCGTAAAGAGGATGATACACTTGCACTAAAACCTAGAGCACTTTGTGACCGGGGAAGTGAGAATGATGGGTCGAGTCTACAGGTTATTTGTAATGATTATTTTAGAGAAAAGTGAAGTAGAGAAGTAATTCAGTGTTGTCATCACATCACAGAGTTCATCTGAGCAGGACACAAATGAACGGACTCTTTAAACCTAAAGCCACGGTGGCTGTTCTTTTATTTACTTGACAAGACTAGAAAAAATAAAAAGCTTCGGAGGTCTCTTAGCTGCTCTGACTGATATCTAATGCTTGGATTCTAAGTTTCTGTGGGTAAAATGGCTACAGCCTGTGAGAAGCGACCGCCATAATGGAATGAGGAAGGTGGAGGAGGGTGGTGGTCCTGGACCTCACCTGCACGTGGGTGGGATCCTGCGTTGACACAAAAATGTCCAGTTCTTTGTCCTCTGTCTTTGGAATAACAAGCACTCTCTGTGTTTCCATGTAAAAATGCTCCTGTCCTCCAACGTGGACCTCTCCTGTGGAGCATAAGCGTGGGAAGCTTCTAGAGGTATGTACTGCTTGAAAGCCTCCATTTTGGGGACTCCAAAAGCCATTAGGACATGGCCTGGCTGGCTGGCTTTACCTCGACCAGCAAACCAGGCCTCTGTGCTCTGGCAGTCTGTTACCAGAGACTACAGTTCTGGATAACAAGTTAAAAGTAGCAAGTTCTGGTCCTTCCTCTGTCCTTGACTAACAAAAATCTTAGGAATTTTCCTTATTTATTCTCTTGCTCTCTCCTGCCCACCCCTACCTCAAAACGCCACACACACACACACACACACAATTTGAGAGAAAGAGAAATCTGGCACAGCACCAAGATTTCAGGGGGTGGTCTTTCTAGGGAAATCCCACGCTCTTGGTGTCTGCTTCTTAAGCTCGTCAGGCCACGAGTTCACTACCCACCCTGCTCACCTTCAACAGTCTGGTCGACTTTTTCAAAGGCTTCCTCAACATTTCCTTTTTCAAGTTTTTTTTCAGGGCATAGGAATGAATTGTGTTTTATAGCATCCTGAATGACAGGGGAAAAAACCACAAAAGCCAATCTTTCCAACTTTTTCTCCCACTGGCAGCTTTTTTCTCAAACAAAAGGCAGCGTACTCCTGAAAATGACTGTCCCCTGGAAGACAGGAAAGGTGCCAAGCAAGCAAAGGAGGGCGAGGCTTGCTGCAGAGACGTCGGAGAGAATGTTCTAGACTTGCAGAAAAAAACTAGCAAGAAGGATTAGCAAAATGTTAGGAAGGAAGCTTTGTTCAGAACAGAGGTCTGGGGACACTACGATGATCCAGGGTGATAAATAGTAATTTCTCATGTTCAAGGTGACTCTCCAGGGAACAGGTGATGTGTCCAAATGCATTATGGGTGAGGTTGGGGCTTCCATTTTCATCTTTTCCCAGAAGAAAACACTTGTGTTAAATTACTCAGGCAGCTTGTGTACAAGAAACTCTAACTCAGGAATCTGGAAAAACTGAGACTGTGTGAGGGAGAAAACACAAGTCCTTACACATCTCCGGGGCAAGAAAGCCCAGTAGACATGGTAGGAAGTGCGTTCATTTCTCTGGTATTTGGCATAACCTTTTGTTATGTTCTACGTTTTGTTCTGACTGTGCCATGAACCAATGCACATTGAGGACTGTGTTCTGCAGACTGACCCAGCAGCAGCTGATCCTTGTTTAACTTTTATTTTATTTTATTTTGGTTTAGTTTTTTGAGACAGAGTCTCACTCTGTTGCCCTCACTAGAGTGCTGTGGTGCCATCATAGCTCATAGCAACCTCAAACGCCTGAGCTTGAGCAATCTTCTTACCTCAGTCTCTGAGTAGCTGCCTGCCACAACGCCCGGCTATTTTTAGAGATGCAATCTCACTCTTGCTCAGGCTGGTCTGGAACTCCTGAGCTCAAGCAGTCCATGAACCTTGGCCTCCCAAAGTGCTAGGATTACAGACGTGAGCCACCGCACCCTTTAGACCCAAGGTGCTTTCCCATCCTTGAGAATGACATCTGTCTCCTGCATTCTTAGAAAGGTGCTTTCCATCCTTGAGAATGACTTCTGTCTCCTGCATTCTTAGACTCTCAGTGGCTCAGATTCCATAGCCTTGCTTTCTAATAATGCTACTGAGAGTAGCTAATATTTATTGAGTGCTTGCTCTGTGTTAAGCACTGTACAATAGTGGTGCATTTACATGTATTCTCACATTAATTCCATTATGATCTCCCTCTCCTAGAGGCAGAAACTGGGCTGAGAGAGTTAAAGCCACAGTGAAAAGAAGGGACGGAGGCAGTGTTCCCAGGCTTGGTTTTCAGAAATATCTTGCCTAATGATCAATCTCTGATTTCTTAAAGCAGACGAACAATATAGTTGAATGTTTTTTTTTCCCTCTATATTAAGATCTTAATAAGCCATCTTTGTACCTGTGGAAGTATATGGCCACACTGTAAATGTGTCACATGATAGTATAATCTTAGTATGCTATATTTAGTGAGCACTAGTGTGCCACGTACGTGCTAAGAGCTTTAAACACTTTTATGACAACACGATGATGTATGTGTTATTATTATTTATCCCCATTCTACAGATGAGGCAACCATGGCACAGAGAGGCTAAGTAACTTGCCTAGGGTCACACAGCTCGTAAGAGGTACAGCTGCTATTCATCTCTGGTAGTTTGGCTCTAGGATCTGTGCTTTTAACCACTATCTTACACTCCTACACTTCCTCTCACATGTATAATCGTATACATAAAGGAATGAATAGATGAACTGATCAGTATTGGTCTATATGATTATTTGATTGCCTGCCTTTGGTCACAGAAGAATTTGTTTTTTTGCTGTCTCTGTAAAGTTCTGCTCAGAGTGAACTCTAGATCTCTAACCATTCTGAGTCCTAGATTATTTCATGGGTGAGTCCTCTGGGTGCCATTTCTCCTCGGAGAAAAGTGGGATTAGAATTGAAATTTCAAAAGCCCATATTAGGAACCTAGTGCAACAACCTACCAAGGGGAGTGAGCCAAGAAAAATGGCCCGGGCCTCTTGCAAACTTGGCAACTGGAATTTAGAGCAGAGTTGATTGGTTTAGAACGATTAAGAAACAAGGTGGGTTTTTAAAAAACATTTTGAATATTGAGCAAAGTAGATTGAGTAACCTTTTAGCTATACTTTAAAATGTTCAAATGGTTCATTAAAGCCTTTGACCAGGTTTTATGGTCTGTCATAAACGTACAAAGAAGTAAGCTTTTCTCAATTTGATTACTCTGCACCTGTCCCTCACTGAATTAGAACTTGCAAACCAGAGACCACATTTGAATTTCCTATTCCCACTCCATTAGCTTTCCTGGAAATACCATTTGTATCCCATTATAATCTAGACCCAGGAATGAGAATGGAAGCTTCTGTGGAATTCCACTATGAAAGTCCTGTGGCTTTGGGGCTCCACCTTGAAAACATAGTTCACAATATCCATTCTCATCATCTTCCTCAAGTAATAGAGCCCCCAGATTTTAGTGACGACATGGCCATCTGGAATAAAATCTACTTTCCCCGCTCCCTCTGCAGCTCGATGTGGCACGTGATGAGGTTCTAATCACAGAGATGTAGGAAGGGATGTGCAAAGTAGTGGGAGTGTCCTGGAAGGGAGGGGCACACCCTTCCTCCTTTCCATTCTCTCTGCTGTCTGGAAGGTGGAGTTAATGGCCAGAGCTTCAGTAGCCACTGTGGACATGCATGATGGCAGGAGAGCTAGGAGGCTGGATCCCTGACACATAAAGCTCTATATAAGCCCTGGACCAACCACTTCTAGACTCTTTGAACACGAGATAGAAACTTCTAGTATATTTTTTCCCTCCTGTTCCTTGGAGCCAAAAATAACTTCAACTCATATAAGCAATATCTTCCGAGCAAGCCAGTGACAGGAAAAAATTAGATCCCTGAATTCATCTTGCATTAAGATATTTACAAAGTACTTTTGATTCTACAACTTTGGGGAGATATTGGCTGGCCCTGCTTACCTGGATGGTGAAGATTACAGGCTCCAGATCTTCATAGGTGATCTTTACCTTTTCAGTCGCTCGCTTTGCTTGTATATCTGTCTCTGCAACCACAGCACAGATGATCTGGCCCACACAAAGTACCTATGGAAGGGACACACATGAATCAGATAGAAAATCCTGAGTGGGCATAGGGTCCATTTGAGCTTACCAGTGGCTGGCATCTTAGATGTCATTGTCGAGCAGTAATAACCACATTGGAATCACATTCGACTATACATGCTTGGCTAAAAATCTAAAATAATTTTTTACTAAGAAAATAACTTGAATAATACAGACAGTTCCACTGGCCATTTAACTTAGTGATTTAGTGTCTACCCACCGTAGACATGAGATGGCTGTAACCTAAATCTACTATGACCTCTGTTGAGTCTGGGTCACACGGGTCACCTTCATAGTATCATTTTAGAGTTTAATGAAAAGCAGAATTTTTTTTGTCTGATGTGGCGCCTGTTGTGGACTGAATTGTGTCCCTCCAAAATTCATAAGTTGAAGCTTTATTCCCCAATTTGATTGTATTTGGAGATGGGCCCTTTAAAGTAGTAATAAGATTAAATGAGGTCATAGGGTGAGGCCCTTTTCCAATATTACTGGTGTTCTTACAAGAAGAGGAAGAGACACAAGGGACACTGTCACACTGAGGAAAGGCTTATGAGGACTCGGGGAGAGGGCAGCTGTCTGCAAGCCAGGAAAAGAGGCCTCAGGAGAAACCAGACATGCCAACATCTTGATCTTGGACTCAGGCTCCAGAACTGTGTGAGACAACAAATTTCTGTTGTTTGAGCCACCTAGTCTGTGGTATTTTATTGTAACAGCCAGAGCAGATGAACATAGCTCCTAAACAACAGTCAACCTCTATGGACAAGTTCAACCAAAAGAACAGTGATTTCGTTCCTTGGCCCAACAGCAAACAGTCTGGGTGGGACTCCCTGAGATATGATGACGGCTCACCCTGACTGAAAGCCGGTAGACTTCCATGAGGAAAGTCCTGAGCACTTTACATGTGTTAATGCATTTAAACCTCACAGCCACACGATGAAGTGGGGGCTGTGATTATTCCCTTTCCAGAGATGATGAAAACCAAGAGCACATAGCTAGTGAGGGGCAGAGCTGAAACGTCAACCTAGGCAGCTAGCTTCAAAATGAAGTGCTCAAGGAGAGACAGCTGAATTTGAATTAAAAGGTCAAAGACAGCAAAAGCAACTTTATTAAAGATGAAGTGTGTGAAGATAGATGGGACATGGGGAGGGGCATCAAGGAAAGGAGGGAGTTCAAGGTCAATAAGAGACAGGGGCCACATTTTTATACTTTCCTTTCTAGATCTTTCTAGAATTTTCTAGTCTGATACAGATCAGTTCCTTACATTTACTCTTTAGATGAGGATAAAAGGACTCAAGGGCTCACAGTGGCAGAACTAGGACTTTCCACTTTTCTGTAATAAGTTTCCTTTTACTGTTATTTCCTGGGTCTAGAAAAGTAGGGCTGAATAAAGCCCTTGGGGCAGAGAGGAGCTAGGAGGCGTGACACTTCTACCTCCCAAAGCAGGAAGAACTGGAAGGCAATGGGAAGCTGGTTGGAGGTGGTGGTGCCTCGGTGATTGCACAAAGTCATTTGAAAAAATGTGTCCTATCCATACCTCATCTACAGCCAGAAATCTGTCATCTTCTGCACCATTGGTGCCTGGAATGTCTTCAGCTGTTATCACATCAACCACCCCAGGTAGTTCAAGTGCCTCAGATAATTCAATTGATCTGAACAACGAGAGATATTTAAAAAGGGGAAATCAGCAAGCTTTGAGGGGACCAAACCTGTGGGAGGGATCAAGCATGGTTGAAAATAAAAATATGACTGCATGCAGTGGCTCACGTGTATATCCTAGCACTCTGGAAGGCTGAGGGGAGTGGATTGCCTGAGCTCAGGAGTTTAAGATCAGCCTGAGTAAGAGCAAGATCCCACATCTACTAAAAATAGAAAAAGAAACAGCTGGGATTTGTGGTGGGTGCCTGCCTGTAGTCCCAGCTACGGGCTAGAGGATCACTTAAGCCCAGGAATTTGAGGCTGCTGTGAGCTAGGCTGATGCAACTGGGGCACTCCAGCCTGGGGCAACAGAGTAAGACTCTGTTTCCCCCTGCCCCAAATCTGACCACAAATCCAGCTTAGGCCCTGAACAACTCAAAGGGACCTG